ATTGGATTGATATCCCGGTTATGCATGCTATTGTACTGTAGTGATCTGTTAGATCGATATCTTGGTATATAGGACGATGATATGCTTAGTGATATGTAGATCTGTTTGATTGGCTCTATAATGTTATATGATTATTTGTTATATGTACACATGTTTGGTCTGTGGCTGACGCTTCACTGCTTTGCGCGTAAACCAAAAGACGAGGGCATACCAACTTGATGGTTGAATGAGCTCGAGGGTATTCCATCCCGAGGATGATTGGACCATAGTGTATTGGCATTCCAACCCGATGGTTGAGGGGCCTGGGGTATTCCAACCCGATGGTTGATTGGACCCATATTATGTTGTTAATTGTATTTGTTATCTGTTTATGTGTTGGTATTTTGGGGGATCTCACTAAGCTTTGGACATACAGTTTTGAGTTATGTTTCAGGTACTTCAGATTATCGCGGGAAGGCAAAGGTGTGACCGTACACATCCTCGTGTTTTGACTTATGATATTGAGATACTATGATATTAAACATGTTTTGAAAACTATGCTGTAAACAATTTATGATTTTGGATTGACATTAAATTTTTAAGTTTTTCATGATTTTTATTGATGTTACAATAATATTTTAGATTTTTTTAATATATAAATAATTCTGAATTTTTATAAAAATTAAAATTGTTATTATATTGATACTTAACGATGTTCTATCGATGAAAATAAAATCCGTCGATAATCCGTCACAATATATTTTTTGTCGGTAACTTACTAACTTGTTACAAACATGTTCCGTTGGTAATCCATTAAAAATATGAGCCGTCGGTAATTCGTTATTAATTACCGACATTAAAATCTATCGGTATATTTGGTTGTGTTGTCGGAAATTATGTCACTAAAAATTACCGAAAAGAATTAACGTCAAAATTGGATCCGTCGGAAACCAACTAAAGACGGTTTATGCTGCCCTGCTTTGTGGTAGTCAAATGAGACCTTATTATAAACATTTTAACGATTTACAAATTAAATAGTAAAGGTGAGTTTGTGGGAAAACAATGTTTGTAGAACGCTAATGTGATATGCCATATCAATATATAATGTTAACTAGAAGGAATCTCATGCTTAGCATGGGACGGAAGTTCTTGTTCGAAATTTAGAGAGTTCATTATATTAGATAATTTTTTGATTAGAGTTGGAAGCTCCAAATATTAAGGTTTTTAATGTTTGGAAGAAAAATGATACTCCAAATATTAAGGTTTTTAAAGTTTGGAAGAAACATCATTTGAAGGTTCTCTTTTAAAGGAGCATTATTATGTCAACACAAATTTAGGCTGTGTTTGGCACGCCACAACTAATTAATAATCTAACTTATTTTTCGAACTTTTTATGTTGTTGTGTTTAACAAGCCAAAAAGTAACTTATACGCATTGTTCTCTAGTTCTACTTAAGGAGGAAAATGGGAGGATACGGAGGGAAAGTGAGGGGTGTCGAAGGAAAATCGTGTTCCCAAGTTTCATTAATGGAAGGAAAGTGAGGGGAGAGAAAAAAATTTGGAGCCATATTTTTCTTCCAAATTTTTCTTCCAAATTGGATGGATTTAGGAAAAAAGTGAAGGGAAGGAAAATTTTAAGTTTTACTTTCTTTTTCCTCCTAACTCGGGAATACAAAAACTTAAACTTTTCCTTTCATTTCCTTCGAACTCCAGAACACGGAATAATGAATATTTTCCTTCCCTTCCCTTTCTTTCTGTCAAAAATTTACTTCCATTTCCTTTGATGAATTTATAAAAAAACTCGAGAACAAGGCGATAAGGTAGCTTTTTGAAAAGCTACTTAGAGTAGCTTTGTAGGAGTTTTTTTTTAATTTTCCAAATATACTCCTTAATTAATTATAAGAAAAATATTCTTAAATGTCATTTTATGTAATTTTATATATTCGTGCTAGCTTTTCAATTAGTTTTACCAAAAGTTAGTTTTTCAGCTATTAGCTAGCTTTTTATTTAACAGATAGCTTTTCAACTATTAGCTAGCTTTTTATTTAACAGATAGCTTTTCAACTATTAGCTAGCTTTTAATTTAACAGTTAGCTTTTCAGCTAGTACGCCACACACAGCCTTAATTTATTAGGAAAACAACCAAAAGTCATTGTACAACAATATATATTTTAAAATTTGAATAATAATTAAATTAAATGCATTGAGCAGATGATGGCCAAAGTTCCAAATTCACCATCCAATCTAGCACCAGTAAAACCTACATATTCTCCTGCCGTAAAATATAAACTCTAACATCAAAATATTATAAATTTTAATTATTTTCAAAGGTGATAATTAGTGGAGATTTTTTATAGTTTTTTTTTTCACCTTTGATGACATTATTCATGAAAAAGGAAAAAAATGGTCTTTTAGAGAGACCATTTTATATAAGAAAATGTAAGATATAATTAAAGATATTAACTTAAACTACCAAAGTGTCCAATAATACTCTTCTACTCTAAGGCTAAAGGGAGTGGTGACACTCCTAACACCCTGCCACATCATTTTTTTTTGCTGCCATGTCATTTTTTGGCATACCACCTTGCTAGCATCGTTTACTTAACATTTTATAGGGAGTGGTAGCACCTCTAACATTCCTTGATTTTTTTTTATAATTTTTTACCAAAATTAAATAAATTATATTTTTTAATACACAAACATTTAATATTAAATAAATTATATTTTTATAAAACATAAAAATTTAATATTAAATAAAAATGTTTCTATTTTTGGACAAAAAATACTAAGTGATTGAAACTTTGGGGATCAAATGTGTAACTTTTTTATTTCTTCCTCAATAATTCTCTGTTCAAGGAACGCATCTTCTTCCCCAATTCTCTAAACGAAGCGCAGCAAAAGCAAAAATTGAACAATCAAACCATTGAAAAAAAATAAAAAATAAAGCCAACAGCCAATGATTTCCCTTTCTTTCCTCTTGCTCTTTCTCTTTCTTCTCGCTGCCTGGCTAGCGAGTTCTCTTTGGCGAGTGACCTAGCGACTTCAATGGGAATGGTAGAGACGAGGCTAGCGAGCCACTCCCTCCAGCTTAATAAATGAATGTTTTTTTTTTCCACATGTCACATTCTCATTCAATTTGTCAAATGTCATTTTGGTTATTTTGAATTAATTTTTTTCCACATGTCATTTTATGAGTTTTTTATTTTATTAAATCCCACATAATATTTTAATGTAATAATTATAATAAATCTCTTCTCTATTCTAATAAATGAATAAATTTATTCTCCTATTGACAAGTGTCATACTATTAGAACTCCTCATTAATATTTTATGTCACTTATCATGCCACTTGTCAACCTATTAATTATCAATTTCAAATTTCAAATTTTAAATTTCTCATTCTAAATACATTAAATTAATAATTGATTCTCCATTTTAAATTTCAATTTTTAATAAATTTTCACTCTAATTATATTAAATTAATAACATTAGATTAACAAATAAAATAAAATTAATACAGATTATAAGATGATATAACTTCACGTATTTATTTAAATCAACGATTATAATTTTATATAACTAAAAAAATATCTTTTAAGTAATAATTTATTTAAAATAATTGATTAATAATTTTGATATTTTAATATGAAAGTTTAATTAATTTTATAATTGTGGTTCTCACGGGTTATAAACTAGTGTAGTAATAAATAGATATTAGTTTTATTAATGGACTTAACTTCTAATTTCAAAATTCATAAATTAAAGCTTATTAATTTCTTTTGTTAATTTATTTAAATTAATTGTTTAAATTTAAAATATCGATAAAACATTTAAATTTTAATAAGTCATTATTTTTCTTATTTTCTTATAAATTTAAAGTTCTTAAATATTTAGACTTTTATATCTAACTTCTTTTTTGTAAATTAACTCATGTAATACACATTACATGAGTCTCACAACTAGTGATAAATAATAAGAAGCACTTACGTCTGGGAATAACCTTATTGGCTATTGCAGTCTTTGGCATTGCAAAACCTACAAAATATTGTTATCTAATATGTTAACCTTAGTTATATATAGCATGTAGTTTTATGTAAAAAAAAATATTAAAAAAAATGTTTGAAAGTTTCTTGAAGCAGCTGAATATAGAAAGAGAAATACTGAATTATTTGTAGTAACTCAAAAGATTTTGAGTTTTATGAAGAATTATATTAAAAAAAAAGCACCCAATTCTGAGAGTTGATTACATGGAGTTTAGTGTATGTTGCCATCAAATAGTTCAATGTAAATGCTTTTGAGAAAAATTTTGCACCGAGTTTCTTACTTGGTTACTTTATTCACACCCAAGAAAATACCAATTGGATTGACTATTGACAAAATTGCAATATTTTATCCCACCAAAAAATGTGGCAAATCTGGGAGAGGGATTACTGATCTCTCGTTTGTGCAAAAGACGTAAATATTCTCCCCATCCACAACATGAAAAATATCCCTAAAACAACCCTAAATCACCTTAGTTGTATTGGGATTCATTGTAAAGATGGCTTCTTGAAAATTCCCAAGAAATGATTCCATGTGTTGTGTTCGTCACTAAGAAAGAAGAGAGACATTCGTTTTCATTGTCACCGACAATAACAGATGGCGATGACATGGTGGTATTGAGAGAGAGAGAGAGAGAGAGAGAGAGAGAGAGAGAGAAAAGTAAGTAATATTTTTTTGGAAGCGAGAAATATTGTTAATAAAAATAAAAAACCCTCGACTAGTAAGTAACTATCAAGGGGAGAAAAAACGAGTAACAAAAAACAGAGTATAAAAGTTATCAGATACAAAAAGGCGATGATGACCACTCTTCCCATGAACGATTACCATCTTTACCCATACATTTAGCCAACATATATAAAATTGATTTGATTTGCTCTACCCCATACAAAGGAGTGTTGAACACCTGTTTGAACATCTGATCGTTACGATATTTCTATAGATTCCAAAATAGACCATAGCAGATGGTATGGAACCGAACTTTCATTTTAGGACTCCTCCCCCAATTTGCAGCAAATCCGAGCAGTTCACCAATGCTATTGAATGACTGATTATGTAAGCTGCACCATTTATGCATGCACCACACAAAGTAGTTTGAGTCCCAATACCTCTAGCTCTAAGACTCACCATTGAAGCTATCCTCTGTTGAATTGCTCGCCATAAGAAACAATTAACCTTGATTGGGACTTCCTTGCTCCATTTGATTGTGGGAATATTTTGAGTTATTCCAGATTGACAATCAACTTTCCATCTTAGATCACATACTTTGAAAGCTCCATCTTTATCTAAGGAGGACTCCCAAGTATCAGCTCTATTGACCAACTGTGCTGAAGATAGATCGTTCCGTAGGTTATTGAGCTCTGAAGTTACACCCGCTTCATGAGGACATGACCGCCAATGACCTGCAAAAAAACCTTCAAAAAATTTGTCAGCCACTGTGCACTTTTTCCTAGTATCAAGAGCATAGAGAGAAGGATATTTGACATTTAGCACTGTCGTACCAATCCATTTTTCTATCAAGAATAAAGTATTGACACCAAATTTAACTTTTAGTTTGAATATGTCATCGAGTTCAACCCCATTTTTTTGTAAGTCCTTTTTTGTCGCCACAATGTTGTTTCATACCCCGCTGATCTTTCTATTAGCCATATAATTATGAGGTTTATAATTTAGATTATGGATGCTTTTTATGACTCTGTCCCATAGTGTGTCTCCTTCTGATTTCAAACGTCACCACCACTTAACCATTAGGCCAATCTTTAATGCTCTGATTGAGCCTACGCCTAATCCACCCGCTGATTTTGGAGTAATGACTTTATCCCATGATACCAAGTGGATCTTCTTTTTGTCATTTGTTTCTCCCCACAAAAAACTTTCTTTGTATTCGTTCCAATGTCTCTGTGACAACGATGGGTGCCATGAATAGGGAAAAGAAATAAGTGGGTAAATTTCCTAGCACCGAAGTGATTAGTGTCAATCTCCTACCAAATGACAAAGTCTTATACTTCCAGGAGGACAGTTTGGCTAAAAATTTATCAATAATCGGTTTCAAATTTTTTATGAGATTCATATTTGCTCCCACAGGGACCCCAAGATACGTAAAGGGAAAGGAACCCACTTCACAGCCAAGGATGCTGGCCCAATTCAAGGTTTCATTTACTAATGCACCAATTCCAAATACTCTTGATTTGTGAAAATTTACCTTTATTCCGGAAGCAACATGAAAACACCTCACGATCCGAGCCAAGTTTTTGAGATTGGATCTAGACCACTCACCCACAAACAATGCATCATCAACGTAAAACAAATGAGTGAGAATGGGTCCATTATTAGGTAATTGAACACCATTGAAGATCCTTTTATCTCTAGCCTCCATCAAAGCCACATTGATTTCTTCCATTGCTATGATGAAGAGGAAATGGGAAAAAGGATCACCCTGACAGACACCTTCTGAAATCTCGAACTCATCCGTCGGAGAACCATTAATAATAACCGAGGCGCGAGAGATTGTAAGCACCCATGAAACCAAATCCGCCACTTATTCCTAGATTCCATTTGTTCGATAATAGAATCAAGATACCCCTAGTTTATTGAGTCAAATGCTTTGTCGAAGTCCACCTTGAAAAGTAGAATTTTCTTTTTCACTCTCTTAGCCCATGAATATAGCTCATTGATCTCCAACAGACCGTCAAGAATGTTCCTACCTTCAACATATGTAATCTAAGTTGAAACCAATAGAGGCGACACCATTAGGGAAACAAAGCATTAAGGGCAATAATTTTAGTGGTGTTAGTGGCGGCACTAAAAAAGATGGGAGGAAAATATTGTGTTTTATTTTCAACAACATTATCGGCCACACCATCCAGAAAAAAAAATAAGCGTTTGGAGTATTAAATAACTTATATCCATAGAACATCTGGCGTAACATAGATAATGAATAAATAGGAGTTAATATCATTCCAATTGCCATTACAAAAGTGATGGCAATTTTAGGCATTAAAAGATATTTTTCGCTGGTAATTATTCCTAAAAAGACTATCACTTCTGCAACAAAACCATTCATACTCGGTAATGCAAGGTGAGCCATGGAAAAACTACTGAACATCGTAAATATTTTTGGCATGGGGATAGCTATTCCGCCCATTTGGTCGAGATAAACAAGATGTATTCTATCACAACTCGTTCCTGCCAAGAAAAAAAGTGTAGCACCAATAAACCCATGAGAGATTATTTGTAAAATAGCTCCATTGAGTCCCGTATCGGTTATAGAAGCAATTCCTATAAGTATGAAACACATATGAGATACGGAGGAATAGGCTATTCTTTTTTTTTTTAAATTGCGTTGGCCGGAAGATGTTGAATCTGCATAGATTATTTGTATTGTACCTATTATCATCAACCAAGGAGAAAATATAGAATGAGCGTGTGGTAATAATTCCATATTAATCCGAATCAATCCATACGCTCCCATTTTTAATAAAATTCCTGCTAGAAGCATACAAGTACTGTAATGTGCCTCTCCGTGGGTATCTGGTAACCATGTATGTAGGGGTAGAATCGGTAATTTGACAGCAAAAGCAATAAAAAATCCAATATAGAATATTATTTCCAAAGCCACAAGATACGATTGATTCACTGATGTTTCAAAATTTAATGTTGGTTCATTAGAACCATATAAACTGACACCCAGAACTCCCATTAAGAGAAAAATGAAACCTCCCGCCGTGTACAAAATAAATTTTGTGGCTGAGTAGAGACGTTTCTTTCCTCCCCACATGGATAGAAGTAGATAAATCGGAATTAATTCTAATTCCCACATGATGAAAAAAAGTAAAAGGTCCCGAGAAGAAAATGATCATATTTGACCACTGTACATTGCTAACATCAAGAAATGGAATAATTGAGAATCCCGAGTAACAGGCCAGGCTGCTAAAGTAGCTAAAGTAGTGATAAATCCTGTTAATAAAATGGGTCCTATAGACAGTCCATCTATTCCTAATTTCCAACGGAAATCAAAAAAATTTATCCATTTATAATCCTCTACTAGTTGGATTAATGGTCCGTCCAATTGAAAATGATAACATAATGCATAGGTTGTTAGAAGAAGTTCTAACATGCATATACATATAGTATACCACCTAATGACCCTATTTCCTTTATGTGGAAGAAATAAAATAAAGGAACTCGCAAATATTGGTAAAACTACAATTATTGTTAACCAAGGAAATTTGTTTGTGGTAAAGACAAGATACACTTGGACCAGAAAAACCTATGCCCAAAAATAAAATATTTTTGAGCATAGGTTTTGGCGGTAAAAAAAATGGGCTCAAGTAGGGTTTTATGTAACGTATTAATAAGCTATACCCATGTTGCGGGTTGTTTCATGCCATAAATAAATTCGAACACTCAAGAAATCTGTTGGGCAGGCGGATTCACATCTCTTACAACCGACACAATCCTCTGTTCTTGGAGCGGAAGCTATTTGTTTGGCTTTACATCCGTCCCAAGGTATCATTTCTAATACATCCGTGGGACAGGCTCGGACACATTGCGTACACCCGATACATGTATCATAAATCTTTACTGAATGTGACATTGGATCTATCCATTTTTGAATGTGAGAAGGTTTTAATCTAGTAAATTTATTAATGAATTATATATTTAAATACTAGATGAATCGATGAGTTCCCCGAGTTTTTTTATTAATCTACTTCTGGATTGACAGCGCCAAAATACTTTGATTTCGTATATTTGTGATAACATGAGGATACCTTACGTGACAGACATGCTAATTTGAATTAATTATTAATTTATGAAAATGATGAAGAAGAAGAACTCAAGTCTGTCCTATGTCCTATCATCGGGCCGTAAAGCCCTCACTCCGCATGCACTTTGATCAATCTTCTATCAGGTTTGATTTCGACCCTGATGAACCTGGCACCTTTCTTCCAGAAAGCCCCCACGGAGCGGTCACGAAAAGGCATTGGATGTGATGGCTCTATCTATGGGCCCAAATGCCACTGATTTCTTTTCGATCGGAGCATCCAACAGCGCAACCCGGTTGTACTTGACTAAGCCCGTGCTCGTCCAAGGAGGGAGTTTGCTTTACCCAACCCCCTTTTTGATAACAAGACAGAAAGCCCCGACCTAACATTCATTAGTTTCGAATGAAAAAATGTTTACTACTTATGCTTTTAGAAAAAGAAAGACTTCTTCGTGCTGAAAATTGAGTTCTTTCCTTTTTTTCTTTCTATAATGGAGATAGTCGCACGTAATGACAAACATATTATGAAATTGTGGTAAGAACGGGTTTCGTTCTAGTGCCCGATAAGAATATTCCAAAGCTTTTGTATGTTATCCGTTACAGATACAAAACCGTACGTGAGATTTTCATCTCTGCCATAATGTAATGTGCTTCCACTGCCAATAAAAAGTAACCAATCCAATGATATTTAACATCCAAAAAACTGCCAAAGAAAATGCATCACAAGCCGAAATATCACAAGTACCGCCTCGTCCTGGGCCATCGCAAGGAAAACTATAACTGAAATCCTTTTTATCTGGCGTTAACTTTAAAGGTCAACATAAGAATTAGCACCGACATTAAGAGGGGGCTTGGACATCAGGGCGATATCCAGCACATCCAACTAGATGTGGCACTTGACGTGTCGTATATCGTCTTAATGTCCACGTCGTCCATGTTGATGTCCACCCTATAGCCCAAATTTCTTGTAGCGAAAATATTATTTTTGTTGTAGTTGCTTTCTCTGTTTCTCATTAGACTCGCTATGAAGAAGTGGAACAGAGAACCTCTTGGGAGGATCGATCTTGAAACAGATATAAGTACTTCATAATTAACAGAAGTGTGTGGACCATATGAAAATTTTCATCTTTATTGATGGATTAATAGCTACAAAGAATATGAATAACAAATATAATTCTGAAGCTTAATTAGCATCAAATACATAGAAGAATATATACGGAGGTCCAGCGTATCATTGTACACAGAATACTTCTTATGCCATTTTGCATTCTGGAGGAAACCCTTGAGGAAATCTCTTGGAATCAGAGCAGTAGTTGTAGATCATGTAATTCTTCTGCACCCATTGTAACCTTTCCTGCTTTGTGTTATCCAACTCCTCGGATAGCCATGCCTGATTGCCACCGGAAGATGCAGAGCCACCACAAGACGATTTCCCAGAAGACACCACACAAGCATCGGCCCTAAAGTTTCTGTAGGATGCTGTGAACGGGGCTTGACTCCAATCGGTTTTAATCAACCCACCCCTGGTCGCCCAATCATCAGCATTCCATAAGCTAGAGTGTATTCTCATGGGCTGATTTTTTGGAAACGGAACTCCAATAGATTCGGAATTCTTGAACTCTCTAATGGGTGTTCCATCAACAGAAAATCTAGAAATGGACAAAGGAAGATCAGTATTTGACATGGGTCATTGTATGTAGAAATTATATAAAACTTAAGATGATACTTACATGATTCGTTGAGGGTTCCAAAGGATGGAATAAGTGTGGAAATCAGCAGTTGGATCGAACCACAGGTAGAATTGCTGTTCTCTGTTGCCTTTGCCTTGACTGAATACATTTGTATGAAGAATATAGGGATCACCACTCAAGTTACCCAGGAACTCAAAGTCGATCTCATCCCAGTTCGATCCTTTTGAAGACAACTGCAAATACAATCAAAACATAATTAATATTCATATTCAGTAAACTATTTCCCAGCCTAGAAAGTATGAAAGATAGCAAGAAACTTACATAGTAGGCAGTGACTGTGCCTGCGGAGTTACCGGGAACCAGCTTCAGCTGCATATCAATCTTGCCAAACAGATACTCGTTTCTTGACTCAAAGCCTGAGCCAGATGATTTATCGAGGGAAAGGGTTAAGAGTTCGCCATTTAGTATTTTACCACGGCCATCACCCCAAGTGATATCAAACTCATTGTTGAAATCAGCGGAGACTATTGAAGTGCTCCCTAGAAATATAGAGAGCAGAAGGAAAGTCGAAAACTTTGACGTGTAAGAGAAAGACATTTTATGCAGATGAATGTTTTGTTCATAAGTTGAAGATAAATGACATGAATTGTGTTGTATTTATAGAGTTGGTGTTTGGAGATTGAAGGAAGGTGGGGACGAAGGTCAGAGTAGGAGGAGATTCAGTGAAGTCAAGTTGGTGAGAAATTAGAAGTTTTGAACTTTTGATCATAAAACAGCTGGTATATATTAGGCTTTAGCGTGTAACAATCATATCTCTAAAGTGGTACTGACTACTGAAAGAGACTTTTGGTTGTTTAAAAAATCAAATTGACGGATGTCTTGTGGGTCGGTGACGCGTTTTCAAAAGTGTAATTTATTATTTTAAATTGCATGGGGTTTCATCCGGGATATTCAACCGCGGATAAAATATTGAATACAAGGACTGATAATTTAAAAGATTTTACCTTTTAAACATATTTTCCCTTTTTTTAATTACCAATATTTTTCCTAGTATTTTCTATTTTTCTCAAATATCGGGTTTCCAAGTAACTTCCGCTAACAAACAAGTTTTTTTTTTTTTTTTTTTTTTTTTTTTTTTTTTCAAAGATAACCTCATATTCTTCCGAATTTTCTTGAATGATCAAAGAATTCAAGAAATATTTTTCTAGCATTATATCATTATGTAACACCGTAAAGAGTTTGGTGGATGCTTGGTATGTGGCATAGTTTCTGCTATGAGATGGTAAATGTCATGGATATATGTGAATGATATTTTTGATAAAAGTTGGAAAATATGGTTTAGTTTTTTACTAGAGGCTAGAGAGGGTATCAATGACCTATGTCGGTTAAGGCATCAGAGGTTTTAATCACCCAAGATAGTAGTCCATGCCACTTGTTGTCGACTCTATGTTTGCCTAATTGGTAACATCTTAGAACTAATGGTGTAGTTTCATATCATGAATATGGAAATATGATGTTATTTGTTAACATTATGAAATGATGCCAAATTTTATCTATGTGATTGACTAGGGTGTATCATGAATATGGAAATATAATGTTATTTGTGAACATTGTGAAATGATGTCAAATTTTATCCATGTGATTGACTAGGGTGAGCATAACGCGTGAATATGTTGTTTAAGCTTTACGACATGTTTGGAGCAAGTATAAACATAGTAGTAAAAGAAATGGGATAAAACCCAAAGTATGTTGCTATTTTCTAAAATATTGGGATGAGAAAAAATGAAAAGAAAATTATATGTAAACCAAATGGGATAAAACCCAAAGTATCGTGCTGGGCATCCTTACCTCGTCCCATACTATATTGGAAGTTCATGACACGTGTCCAAATTGGTTAGAAGAAACCAATTAATTTTTATGCCAAATTTTTTTTATTGTTTATAAGTAATGTTTATCTTTAATAAAAAATAAAATAAAATATATCAAAATACATAATTTATTTTTCTCTACAAAATAAGACAAATATTGATATATTTTTATAAATATATAACTTTAATGTGAAATAGGTTAGGTTGGGTTGATAATGAGTGTAAATAATTGGATTGAATTGGGTTGTATATGTGGAAGAGAAATAAATTAGTTTTTTTATTGAAAAATTGGATTGGGTTTGATTGCTAACGGGGATAGCCTAAGGGCTAGGGTTAGCCCACCATCAGCCTCCATCACCTCATAATACTCCCCTTTGAAACCCTAGCACCTCATAGTTGATTTTGAGCTCATTTGTGGTGATTTCTAGTAATGAAGAAGAAGATGAAGAGCATCTAGTACACCATCTCAACATTCAAGCTTCACCATTATTCATCTTCACACATTCTGTACCTTTGTGAGTTTTCAAGTTAAATGTTTTATGAGTCAATAAGCTTCGATATAGGTTTTTATGCATTATCTTTCATGTCTAGGTTGATATAGTGTTTGGGGATCCATAAAGTTGCCAACTTTATGGATCTCCAATGTCCATTTGATGAAATAAGTGTTGGATTCTTTAAAAAAAAGAAATAAGTGTTGGATCTGAAGTATGGTTAGGTTTTGAAACTCTTGCATGAGCTCTTAAGGCCATTTCTTCCTTTCTGTGCCCTAGCTTGTGTTTGGGACATGTATTAGAAATGAATGTACAAAAAGCCATGATCTTTATGATGTGATGTAGTAGATAAGACATCCTGGAAGTTTTTTTTGCTTGTCTAAAAGGATTGAGAACTTATTACATCAAGCTGTTTAGAGCGTTCTCACGACATGAGAACTTATGGATCATGACGTGAGAATGGAATGACTCGATTACTTTGTCTTACTAGGTCACGACGTGACCAATAGATGGTCATGACATGACAACTGGCTGACTAACCTTAGAGTGTGGATTTTGAACTTTGACCGTTGATTGTTGAATTTGATCGTTGTCCAAGTTTGACTTTAGGTCAACACTACAAATAAAATTACATTTAGTGGCACAAGTTTTTTTTAGTGGCACATATTTTGTTGTGACATTGTACACTTTAAGAATCATTTTTTTGTTCCCTCCTATTTCCCCCGTTTTCCCCGCTTTTACTCCTAAATATTTTCAGATACCAAAAAACAACGCGGGTCCCAAAATTTTGATTATCTCTCAAAACTTTAAATATAGCAAAATGTTTAGGGCAAAATTGATAGCCAGCGCTCGTCCACCATTCTCCCTCGTCTGCCATTCTCCTTCGTCGCTCACCCCCGTCACCGTCACCCACTTACTGCCAATACTTGTCGTCGCTCACTCACCATCGTTTTGTGACAACCCGAAACTTTTATCTCGCACACATAGTCAATTCAATCAAAATTAAACATGTTTTGTTGACTTTTAGCTCTGTTTGAGGATTCGTTTAAGTGATTCTAAGCTTGAGTATGACCAAGGTTGAGTTTAGGAATGTGTCAGCAAGTCGTATACTGTCAAAACAGGGCCATACATACCCTTAGAGGGAGTGTACGGCCGTACACATGGGTGTGCGGCCGCACACCCACTCCCTTGGCAGCACACTCGCTCTTGGCAGCACTCTCACCCCTATATAAAGGGTAGACCCCTTTCCTTTCATTCCTTTAACACCTTGGCAGCACACAACACCATTTCTCTCAAGCTTCTTCAACCACAAACCCTCCCAAGGCTTCAAAAACGTGAGTAATCCATCCCTTAACTTGTTGTGCATGAAGAACCTCTTGATCTAGGCCTTGAATCATGAAAGTCCCGTCATGTTCTTCATCTCTTTGAAGGAGTGCGACCACACACTCATGTGTGCGGCAGCACACTCCTGAGTGCGGCAGCACACTCCTGTGTGAGGTAGCACACTCCCTTGTGCAACATCACACATATTTGTGCGACCATACACACACACCATAGGACCACAAACCCATTTCTAAGACCCTAAACTTGTACTACAAACAAGTATGGGCCTAGGACACTTCATGGATGCAAGTATGGACCTTGAAAACACCTCAAATGCACCTTCCATCATGAGTGTACGGCCGCACACCCATTGGTCCGCACACCCATGGCCGTACACACCTTTAAGGTGGCCATACACCTCCCTCATGCAATCCTTAGAGGTCCTAACACTTAGTGCAAGTAGTCCCAAGTTCTTAGAGTGGTTCTTCATCACATCTAGTGGTGAAATACCATCATTTGACTCCTTTATGTGTCATTACTTGTTGATTAGGATCAAATCGTGTTCAAGGCTTCACTTGAACATCCCGCATTCCGTATCGATCCTTCATTCAAATCACCCGAGGTGAGTTCATACCCCTACATTTTCCGTGTTTTTAATGTTTTCAGGGGGGAATACAAGCCAAATTCAAAGTATTTTATTAAGTTTTAAACTTATTAATGCAGTCCAACGATTTCCACGTTTAATAACATATTTGGATATTTTATCTCTTTTTGTAATATGTTGAGCATAAGGGAAACTACTATTTTGGAAATCTAACTTCATAGCTTTCAGAAAGGTTTTTATAAAGCAGCTCTATATCAACTCTAATAAACTATAATGGGTATAGTTTGGGATAACCCTCTAGGCAGTCTCTACCTAATCAGATTTCATAAATGAATATATATAAACTATGGCAGATTTAGTTTATGTTATATGTTTTCTCAGAAGTATAAAGTACATTTATTCAAGGATAATTACTGTTTTATATTGATTTCTCGCTAGTAAACTAGATTATATAGAATTGTGAGGCGCTATTTCAATACTGTACCCTTAGGTGTATAGTGATAAATCCTTTTAGTATAACCAGAGTCTCCTGGAGGGAGAGCGTGAGATTTGTGAATAGATCTATTCGGGACTGACAATCCCACACCAGAACTGCTAGCTACAGTTTGGCGGACACGCCTGTGGTGAACAAATGCCATTTAGCTTAACGCCTGAAGAACGTTATAAAGGTCTCTCGGTCATATCAAGTATGGTTATACGACTCACAAAATAAGTATAAATTAATTTTGTTTACGGACTCTATTCTTCGCTTGTTTTATTTTAAGTAATAAAACTACTTTTATATATACTGATAGAAATCAGGGATCTCTAAACTTGCATCTCTACCTCTAGGATGGATATCTTGTTTTAGAGAAAATATAGGATTTTCCTGGATTAACACCGGCTTTTCTAAAACTGATGGTTCACTACTCTACCAACGGACATTCATTCCATGACTCCTTGAATTATACATGTCATGTATGAATCTGGAAGACATGGAAGGAATGGGCTTTCAAACATGCTTTTCATAAGAAAATATAGGATTTTCTTGAGGAACACTTTTCAAAAGAATCAAAGAACATTTTTCCATCAAAACTAAATGCTTATGAACTCACCAGCTTTATGCTGATACTCTTTCAAAACTGCTTGTATTCTCAGGGAGTTAGTAAACAGGTACTTCCAGGAACTCGGAGAAGTCGAAGTGTTAGAGTCGCGTCTTTCTATTTTGCTTTTGATATGAACAAAACTATGTATTAAAACAATGTAAACCTCTTTCATATATGTATTAAATGTCTGATTGTGTTTACTATGCTTGCTATGATACAATTGTTGTGATACTACGCATGACGTCCTCCA